TTACAAAAAGATAAATACAATATAAAATCTGTTTGAATAAATAGTCTATAAATAGTATATATTTGGGGTTTTCTGATCACTTTACAAGGTAAACAATGAGTTTCTTTTTTCAAAAAAAAATCAACGAAAATAAACACACACTCATACGCCCTGCAAAAATGATATGCAGGTGGTTAGCATCGACCTGACTCTTGAAGAAAGCTACCCCTCTCCCACCCAACAGCCTCACCCCCTTTTCTCCAGACTCTGCTGGTCTCTTGTTTTTTGGTCATGGCATTTATCATCAGTGCAAAGTGAGTGCAAAAAGGCACAAGGAAGGAGCTGCCTAATTGGGATCTTTCCCTTGGGTCAATGTTATCTGGCAAGGGGGGGGGGGCGTGCTTTTACTGTCTTGGCTGCAGGTTTGATCTGGAAGCTAAAATACTGTTTGTTCAAAGTATCTATCTTGACTTGAAATAAAGGCAGGGGGCCCCTGCATTGCCCACTCTGAATCCTGAACCCCCCCCCCCCTTTCCCTCTACCTGCCCACACTGCAACAAAGCCAACGGTTTCAAGACAGGGCCCCCACCAATTCATTCTCCGGTGTCTCTTTCCAAGCCTTTCTGCTCCCCCCAGACTGTGACCGAGGATGAAAAGAGGGCCAGCGGAAGAGGTTGGGGGCAGTGGGAAGGCAGCGGGGGCGGGGTGATGTCTGGGGCGGAATGCTTAGGAAAAGAGGGCTTCACAGCCTGTCTGACTCAGGCCAAGGCTTCCTAGGAAATGGCCATCATCCCACTCTGGGCGTCCACCCGAGCAATTCTGAGCCGCTCAGCCTAAGCCTGGGTCGGAAGAGGGAGGCTCTTCGCCTGACCTCACAATCTGCTTTCTGCCAAAGGCTTGCGTCCAACGTGGTCTTGAACGTGGCCCTTTTGGTCTGCCCAAAGTTTGGATCCAAGCCTTGGAGCTCGTTTGCATCCAAGGAGTCTCGTTAAAATGATGTCCTGAATTCTCATGGGAATTTCGGAGGAGGGGTCCAGAGCTTGGCAAATGGCCCTTTTCCCCCCTTGGGCTGTGACTCCCAGAGTCGCTCAGAGACTGTGGAGCTGGCAGTCCCCCCGCCCCCCCAAAAAAACAAAAAAGAGGAACTTTGCCAAGCGGCGGTTGAAACTGAACGGGCCCCCTCGCTTAGCCCTACCTGAAAATGCTACCGGGGGCTTGAATGTCCCAAGGCTTAAATGGAGGAGGAAGGCCGAGAGGACAGAGGGTGGCCTTGCAGAAGGTAGCTGCCCGGCCCCGTATCCTTTCCCCCCCCTTGTCCTTTCGTTCAAGGGTGTGTGAAACAGGGGAGGGAGTTTATTCACAGTATATTCTAAGCAGGGAGGCAACTTGGGATGAGACCCCCCCTCGGGAAAACAAGGCCGGATACGGGTGCCAAGACTGGGGCCCCTTGGCTCATCATCATCCCCCTTGACAGATCCCCAGCCCTCTCCAGGAAGGATCTTTCCCCCCTTTACCACTGAGGGGGAAAAGAAAGGAATCTGCTACATACAAACATGGCATTAAAAAAAAAAGGTAAACTGCCCAGTTTCCCCCTTCAAGCCCTCAGGGATGTTGGGGGGGGGGGAGGAAACAAGAGGTGCATAATGCTTAAGCCCTGAATAAGGGGTACAGAAGGTTCCCCATCCACAGAACAGCTAAAGATGTTGCAGATGGTCAGACGGGGAGACGGCCCAGCCTCTCGACCACTGAACTTCATAGGTGAGAAAAGAAGAGGCGTTTCTCCAGAGAGAGAGAGAGAGAGAGAGAGAGAAATACGACGGATGGCTGGACCGAGGAAGCTTGTGGGCCAGTTTTCTCAACACTCTGGACCTAAGGCACAATTCCTGAAAAAGCAGGGCTAGGCAGTCTGGCGCAGGAGAGCAGCAGAAGGCAGCTGTTCTTCAGCTGACCAGCAACACGGGCAGGCAGGGGAGGGGAACCGAAACCCGCCTGGAGGCCAGCCACGGAAGCACCACCACCGTCGTCTCCCTCCGGGGAAGACACAGGACCCTGTTCCTTCGTCCGATGGCACGAGGTGGGGTGAGGATCTTCCGGGAAGCGGTGAGGGAGCCCTCTGCTTCCTGGTTGCTACTCCTGAGGTAAGGGAGGGAGGGAGTCACATGGTTGAGAAGCACAAACCCTGAGGAAGGGAAGTTTGGCTCCACGCTGAGGGAATCAGGATAAAATTGGCCCCCTGTGGCAACAGAGAGGCGGCTGAGTTCAGTCATTTGGGCAATCCAGTTGCTAACCGCTGCTGTTCCCCACAAACCGGGACGACTTTGCCCACCACAGGGCAGTCCCTTGAGCCAGCTGAAGGCACCGCTGTGGTGGGATGAAAAACAGATCGGAACACGAGTCTTTCTTTCTGAAAGAAGGCACTTGGGTGGCCAAAGGCGGCAGGCGGCAGGCGTGGGGGCGAACGGACGGATGGACGGACGGACGGAAAGTCTCCTGGCTGTGTTCCAGCTTCCATCTGCTGAGGACTCGACTGACAGGGCTTGAGGGGAAGATGATCTCTGGATCCGGGAAGGGACTCAGATGCCCTCTTCCCTCAGAAGGCTGGAGATCACACGGACACACGCAGACGGACAAGCCAGCCTGGCCATCGTGAACCAAAGCAATGCCAGTGTACACGTCGTCATCGCCTCCTGGCAAGGCACCTCACTCGGAGACCGAGAGCCGGTTGAAGATGGGCAGGCGGTGGGCACCTCCCGCCAGCCCGCCGGGGGCCTGCAGGTCGAAGACGGGCGAGTCGGAGCCGCTCAGGCTACTGGAGCTGCTGTAGCAGTCGGGGTCGGAGAGGGAGTTGGCGGAGGGGGTGCGAGGCAGGGCGGAGGCGGCCGGGGCGGCCGGGGCCGCAGGGAAGTAGTCTCGGCGAGTCTGGGAAGGGCTGGCCAGGCTCGGGGGGGACTTTCCACAGCGGCAGGAGCAGCAGCCCCCACCGGCCGAGGTGGGGAGAAGAGGGTTGCCTAGGGCGGAAAGCACCGAGATGGGGTCAGAGTTCAGGGGCCCGAAGGTTGGCGAGAGGAGGTCAGCAGACACTGGCGGGGGAGACACAGAGGACGCCCGGGCGAAGGAGGCTGGATCCGGCATGCTAGGCAGGGGGGAGGATCGGCAGGCCGTGGGCACCCCGGAGTAGCTGATGCTCTGGCGCAAGAGCTGCGGGGAGGAGGAGGAGGAGGATCCCTGGTGCAGCTGGGCTTCTTCCGGGTAGTGGATGAAGTGGCACCGGGACCCGTAGGGACACTCCCCGTGGAGGTAGAACTTGTGGCACAGCTCCGTCTTGTACTTGGGGTGGCGGCTGATGGAGCGCAGCTCGGAGGGCCCGTGGGCAAACTGGCACTTGCTGCCGTACTTGCACCGCCCGGTCTCGCTGTAGGTGCGGCAGAGCTCCGTCTTGTAGCGGGAGGAGGGGGCCGGGGAGAGGGGGGGCAGCCGGAGGGGCGGGAAGCCCGGAGGCGGAGGCAGGGCCTTGCCCTCGATGAGGCTGACCGAATTTCGTGGCTGCGGAGAGGCCAGACGGGGGAGGGGTCCCCGCTGCTGCTGCGGCTGCTGCTGTACGGCGTGTCCGACGAGCAGGCCGAGTGGCGGCGGGAGAGGTGGGGGCCCGACGATGACACCTCCTGCTCCTCACTCAGTGACAGGTTGAGCAGGTTCTGTGAGGGAGAGAGAACAGACACAGAGAGAGAGAGGTCAGGAGCTGCGAGGCAGGACAGGACACGCCAGCCCTGGGCCCCGCCTCAGCCCTTGGGCCGCGTCACCGAGACACGTCGGCCACGGAATCAGCCTGGACCAAACCTCCCGCAACCCAGTGCTGTTGTGTGTGTGTGTGTGTGGGGGGGGGGATTCTGGCAGGTGCCGTCCACAAACAGGAGGTTCCCCCAAACTCTGCATTTTGCTGCACCCCATGTTCACCCGTGCTTCACAAACAGGGACAGACCCCTTTTGTGATTTCTCTCTCCCCCCCTCTCTCCCCCAGTTCTTATCAGTTCACTGACTTGAGCAGGGGGTGGGTGGGCTTGATGCCCTCATCGACTCCTTCCAACTCCATTTGTCTCACATTCTCTGATTCACACATTCAGCCTCCGCTGTTTGGCAAAACCTGGGAGGCAGCAGTCTAGGAGGGAACAGGCAAGACGACAGCCCCCCCCAAAGGACAGCAAAATGCCCCCAAGCCCCGAGCGCCTGGTCCTCTGTGCCGGACACCCTTTCCACACCCCTAAGGCTCCCGGCAGAGCTGTGCGTGAGCAAAGGAGAGCCTCAGCGTTGCAGAATCCCACCCCAGCGCCCAACAAGGCTTGACACAGCCTTGGTTTTCTGGGCGGGAGTTATTTTTACCGCAGCCGTGGCTGGGCCTGAGCGGCAGAGACGACAGCTGGCCAGCCGGCCCAAGGGCGACGGCGGCACCAGAAGCCAAGGCAGGGGTGCCTGTGGCAGGCCTGGAGAGAGAAGCACCGACCACATCCAGAGGGCTGGATCGGGGATTTTATAGCTGGCTGGGCAGGATTCTCTGGGGAGATGTCCTCCAAGGATCCTGAATGGTGTGTAGGGGTGGAATTTTGAGAAACCACACAAGAGAACTTTGGGGTATGGGGGGGAAGTGGGGGGACCGGGGCCTCTCCCGTTGTGTCCCTGTTCCACAAGTACCAAAATATCCAGGGCAGGGGAAAAGAGCTGGTTCTGATTCCTGATGTTTTAAAATCATTGTTTTGTTTTATGTGACTTGTTTACATTTTAATGAGCTGGGCTGTAAACAGGGGCGGGGGAATGTATCTGTGTGACACAAATCTGTCCAAATCTGGTCTGGAGACATTGGGGGGGGTGCTACGTGGGCAGAGTCTAAACCAGGGAGTCACAGCAGAGGCAATACTAGAGCAAGCCCCTTCCTTATCCTCGTTTATTAAAATACTCATTTCCGATGGTTCCTCAGGGGGTAGGTGGGTGGGTGTTCTGGCATTTGCCCCACCAGTCCAGCCCCCCCACCTACTTTTTCAGCTGTGCAAACATCCTGCTTTACAGAGAGAGGTGCAAAGGGAAGGGAGGATGGCTGATCTCGCTTAGCCACACAGTCAAAAAACAACACCCACCTATTTCCTGGGTGGCTCCGGAAAAAACTCAGCACTTCTGCCCGCCCCCCCGCCTGTCCCTCACAAGTGACCCGCACCAAAACAATGTGCCCCAATGGGTGTTTCTGGGGTGGAGCTAATCTTCCAGACACCAAAACCCCTAAATCAAGCCCTTGTCAAAATCATGGGTATCGTTTAATGCTCTCAAGCACAACAGCCTCTTGTGCTGCTACATCTCCCTTCTCACAACTTTGGTTAAGTTAGAAAAGTTGTTTATAAGCCTTCACCTCCAAACCTACACAATGGAAAACAGAATGACATCTGCAGCAGTACTGCAACCTGTCTTAAATCCTGGGGCCAAATCATCAGAGGTACACAGAAAGAGACAGGAATCAGTTCTCACTCTTGGTCAGAGAGGGCCATACTGGGCAGATGCGGGTAGCATCTGACTCCCTGTGTTTTCCAGTTATGCCCATTCCACCCTATGCAGTCAAAAGCTTTTTTCCTTGTTTACCAGTCTCCTAAGGGCTTCCAGTTTAATTAAAGGGGCCAGTCCTCCCTAACTAACTTTTTTAACTGGCTTGTGAAAGTACACAGATGTCTCACAAGAGCTGTTTTGGTTATTTTGGTTACTAGGGACATTTAGTACTTGACAGATGGCTGACCCCTCTACCTGAAGTGCTCTCTCTCTCTCTCTCTAGAGATAGATAGATAGATAGATAGATAGATAGATAGATAGATAGATAGATAGATAGATAGATAGATAGATAGATAGATAGATAGATAGATAGATAGATAGATAGATAGATAGATAGATGAAAAGGCAAAAGCAAATATTTCCTCCCCCCCCCCAAACTAAGGGAGTTCCATACCAAACTCCATACTAAAGTCCATAAACTCATGGGAGCTAAAGGAAAGAGGAAGCTATCCATGAAGGAGAGCTTCTCTCAGTTATGACCTGATCTGGAGGAAGCTTGACTCTTCCTCCTCTGGACTGAATCAACTTCAGAGATTTGTCACCCAGACAAGGTCCTTTTCTGATGCTTCAGAAAAGCTGTATTTTAAAAATCTTGAACTCATTGATCTCCAGGATGTCTGGCTGGACTGCTGCTGGTTGGTAGGAACTAACCTTCAAAAGCTAATTTCCCAAAGGCTCAGCTAACAAAGATTAACTGAAGCAAGGTCACCCTGTTACAAATTCCTGGGTTACTGGAGATTTTAACTTCTAGGTTGGAATCTAACAGTAACCCTTAGGCTACCTTGTGGCCTTGGGAGATCATGTGGCCCTCCAGATGTCCCTGGACTGCAATCGGCCCCGGCCAGCATGACCAGTGGCGAGGGACTGTGGGAACTGCAATCTGTTAGCCAGGGGAAGGCCCCACGTTGCCCACCTCTGCCCCACGGAGGCCACGTTCAGCCTTCTCAGGCTTCCCGTTGCTCTTTTCTCATTCTTTAGAAAAAGTTTTTAAAAATGCTGGATCCTGTATGGATAAGGCAGAAAGAAATTTTGGTTTTCAGGGGCTTCAGGAGGATCCAAATCTGTGCACCTAAGCAGAGTGCAACGCAGGACAAAGAAAAGACATTGAAAAAGAAAAAAAGGGGGTGAGTGGAGGGGGCAAGGGGGTTGTTATGAAATCGAGGGCTGAAAAAAAATGCTTATATCATAAGCACACAAAGGCAGCTTGTCTCTTGTCTCTTAGCCAAGCGGAGGGTGGCTAATTCTTGACCTAGAAAAAAAGGCTGCAATTCACTCCAGGAAGTAAGCCAAAGAAAAGTTCCTGCTTCCCCACCACTCCCCTCCTGCCTGCCTGCCTGCAAACCCTCCAGAGAATTTTTGGAGAACAGGAAGAAACGTCGCCTTCTGCCCCTTTTGCTTCTAGCAGAGGGACATGCTCGGAGCCCCCCCCCAAGCCCT